GTAATCCATTGCAATAAAGGAGTGGTCCTAAATGAACAGTGAAACTAACAAAAGTCTTTAGGTCCTTGTATATATGTTTATTGTTTTAAGTTACTAAATACATTCTACAGAGCTTGAAGAGTTAGTTGTACACTCCTTTGTTTTCTACCAATTTGGTAAATAAGCACAGACATGTACAAACAGAGATATGCTATAGATATGTGTATTTTAATACAGATTTAATGGATATGGGTGAGTATTGCAATAAGTCACACTGGAGTAGGACACAATTGGGTACTAGGTGCAGGCTACCTAAAAGGCTGTCTTGGGTACACTGTGAGGCACAAGACTGAATACCTTCAGCCACTCAAGAAATGCAGCAATTGCCTACTAATACACAATCTGGATGGCTGACTGCTATTGAAATATGGCTCATTCACGTCACATTTTTTAATTTATTTTTTCAAAAGCTTTTTTAACATTTATGTGTAGGTTTAAGCAACTCATTGCCACCCTATAAAAAGTACTTCAGAGTGAAAGAATAAGAAATTAGCAGGGAAATTATATATACTCTCTCTACTATTCTGAAAACAATTATTTTCCTGACTTTTTTTTTTTAAATACCTATTCACTATCACCAGAAGCTCATTTACCCTTTCAGAAGCAAGTGTTAACTTGCTTTCTTTTATAAATTTAAGTCCCCTGGTCTGCAGCAATCTCCACCTATCCAGAGCCTTTGCACCCTGCAGAGCCCCTCGCAGAAATCATGACCTACATGTAGAACATAAAGCATCCATACTTTACCTTTCACCTACGAAGTCTGGCACAAGTGGCTGAAATGGCTACAAACTGCTTCAGAAAAACCATTGTCGGAGAATGAGACAGTTTTAAACTGTCACTTACTACCTCAACCTCCTATTGCCTCCCACTCCCACTAACTGCTGGTTTTGTCTTTCCCCAACATTCCCCACCTCTATTCCACATAATGGGCTCAGGTATTTTGTGAGGAGCTTTTTTTTTTTCTGATCAGATCCCAGCTGCAAACTATTGCATGCTGGCGCACATCTATGACATCATTAAAAAAAAATCAAGCAATTATGTCATTTTAGAGAATCTATGTACCACCACACTAATCCCTTCTTACCCTCTTAAAATGTAGGCACACCTATCTAGAAAAGCACTATTTGATATAGAATATACAACAGAGATATTGTCATAACTGCCTCTCCAGCCAATACCTTAAATTGAAATTCCAATACAATAAAGCACACTTCAACAGAGTAAGGGGTCCTTCTGTTCCAACACATGGTACCTCTTTATAACATATCCCAACCATAAAAATCAGCTGTGTACACATTCCGCAGAGTGCTAGGATTATACCTGAACCCACAATAATATTATTTGCTGACGCTGATTTATACCACTGTCCATATTAACTTGCAACCTAGTTATTTTAACAGTTTGCTTGCTATTTTGGAAAGGAACAAATAGCTTCCTTTAGACAGTTCAACCTCATAGCATCTTTTCTAAGAAATTATCCACACAGCTGCTTTTTCTCTTTGACCAAGGAACAGGAATACAGTGATGTTAATTACATTCCACACTACTGAAGAACTTCAGAAAGGAGAAGTACAAGCTTTTTTTATTGGTACAAAAGGGAGGGAGGAGGTTCTGAAGTGGCCTGTCTCTTGGTTGAACTTAACCAGCACAAAGCTCAGATCAGGAGTCTAGAATGTTGCGATGGGTTCTGAACTGAGTGAAGAGAAGATACTGTTTAGAGAATGAAGAAAACATCTAAATGAGAAAAGGAATGCCAAAGTAACATAGCATTTAATAGCAAGACGGATTGTTTTTGAGTTAGTTTTAAAAGGAGAGAACAAATTGAGAGAATGCAAGTCATTGGGATCTAGAAATTTATATCATCATTCTATATTAGTGAGCAGTTCTGCTGCACGCACACTGAGGTTGAGGGCTTTTTGCACCACTGCAAACCTCACTATAAATGTACCGCATTGATTTAATATGGGGCTTGTACATATGCAACTTAATCCTTTTCCAAACTATGATAAATCATAGCTGCAAACCCTGCTTTACACAGCTGCAGCTCCTCTATGGTGGGGATTTGGAATAATGCAGCTACACAGGAATAGAAATCCCTTATGCCAGTGGTTTTCAAACGTTTTAGGCTGTGTAACCCTTTCTAAATAGTGTGGTCCACCTTGTACCCCCATCTGAGACATGTAATGACCCTAACCGTGATTGGATTGCCAAGTCTTACTAAATAAAGTACACTGTCCACCAATATAGGATTTTTTTCACATATCTCTTGACAAGTGCTCAAATATACCAATGTGAAAACCACTGCCTTATGTTGACAAGCCTTGAGACTCAAGGATACTTCCACAACACGCCAAGGATTATACCTTGAATAAGAACACAAATTTGCATTTACTGTTCATCTAGCCAACACTAAAAATCAGATAGAATGAAAACAAGTTCTGACACTTACTTTGATTTGGATTATTGAAAACTTGTATACTGTCTGAAGAAAAAAAACTGAATCCTTCACACACTCAAAATTAGCACCCACCTCCACTCTTCAAACAGAAGAGTAAGAGGCTGGGAAAGTTTTGCAAAATCTCTAGCCAACAAAACTGCAGCAAAACCCAACTGTTTGGTGCTTTAAAACACTGTATTGCTAATAAAATGGATTATACATTTTTTGTATCCAAGTTCCCTCTCTGGTCTTGGCCTCTTCCTGTTGTCTATTTATTCATCTCCCTGTGTGGGTGGTGGGATTAGCATATACAACTATCACCTCACCAGTACTTCTTCCTGAGGGAAGAGGGTGCATTACAAAACAAGTTTCACTGGAAAGATTTAAGACCAAATGCCTATCCTTGGATAAAAAAGTATACCATTCCCTGTCAAAATTAAGACAGCCCATCAATTTCAAAGTCACAACTTCTGTCTGAATATTTTTCCCTACTATTGTTGCAAGCAACAGTTAAAATATTATAACTGAAATATTTGACAGATTTTTCAGTTTGTACTTTTGACATTGTGTGCTGGCAGTTTATGTTTATATGAGTGTCTCACAACAAAGGGGAAAAAAAGTTTGAACAACAGAAATATGGCTGTAAATCCACTACCAAACTATTTTCGACTCATTTATTATTTTTATTTATACTACCATAGCGCACACAGTCATGGACCATGCTGTGCTAGGTTCTGCACAAACACAGACCAAATGGGCAGTCCCTGAACTAAAGAGCTTACAGTCTAAATCTCAATACACTCAATGTCAAGTTAGTGTCCCATTCAAAGAGACAACAGGAAAGCAAATTACTGAAAACATAAAATATCCAGCATTCTGGCAATATCTGCTGAGAAAATATGGAACTTTGGTAGACGACCCCCCCCCCCCCCGCCCCGTCCTAAAAGTCTCCCGGAGCTGTATGTCAGAAGTTTAGAAATGAAATACATTCACGGACATTTTCTAGGCCAGATACTAGATAGCTGGGTGGCACTTAAATGGGACAATGCTTCCTCAGAAGGTACTGCCTGGTGTCCAATTAAAGGATACAGAAAAAAAACTACCTGCAGTTTTCGGGTTAGCTAGTCGGGAAGCTACTTCAAGATGAATGTCGGAGGCAACCCAACCATTAGGAAAGGCGTTAAGAAGAGGGCCCTGGTAGTACGCTGGGAGAGACGCTACATTTAGAGGAGTGTTTCCTACCGACGGTCAGTTTCAGAAATCCTCCCCGCAAGGATCCCCGGTCACACAAAAGCCACACAACCTGTTTGGCCCCCAGCGCACAAGAAAACAACTCAGCACGTGCTGCCATTTCTCTGGCCAGGGGGGTGCCAACGCCTAACCTGGGGTGGCTGTACAGCCTCCCACCCCCGCCGCAGCCAGACCCATGACCCACCCCTCCTCTCCTCCCCGGCCTCACTTCCCCTAGCGTGGACACGCCCGAGCCCCGGCCAGTCCTCGAGCGCCCAGCGCTCCCCTCCGACCCCGCCCGTGACACCGGGGAAGGCCGCGGCAGAGCCACGGGGCGGTGGGGGGCGGCACATCCGGCAGCCAGGGGAGGAGGCCGCAGATCGGACGGGGAGAGCGGCCGCCCCCAGTCACCGCCAGGGCTCGGCCCCAAACCGACCCCTCGGGGGGAGGGCGAGACTGGGCTCCTCGCTCTAGGGACGGGACGACACCTGCCGGACGGGCCCCCTCCCCCTTCGCGGGCCCGCGGGAGGAACCGAACCGAGCCGCCCTTCCCCCCCCCGGCCTGTGGGAACCGAACCGGCCTCAAGCCACCGGACACCCCCCAGGCTGGCGGGGGGAGGGGCGAGGAGCGGCCCGGGGGCGGGGCGGGGCGGCGCTCACCTGGCAGAAGCGGCGGCAGTAATACTGGCTACTGAGCGCGGGCGAGACCCCGGCGAGGAGGCGCGGCCCCGCGATGGCCTCCAGCTCCTCACCGAGCCGCTCCGACTCTTGATCGCTCTCGTCTTCCGCCATGCTGCTCCGGCCGCCCTGCGCGTACCGAGCCCCCCGCCCCCGCCCCGACACACCGGATGGCCCGCCTGCTCCCCTGCACCTCACATCCGGCACCTCCCACCGGCCGCGATCTCACGGGCTACTGAACGTGCCAATCATCGGCGAACGGAGAGAGGGAGGAAAAGCGGCCCACGATCTTTCACCCTTAACTCCTCCCTTCGCCCTGTCTCGGATCGCTTGCGCTTGATTGGATGAAAACTACCGTCGTTACTTCGGTTCTGCCTTGTGATTGGTAAGAGGTGAAGTCAATCAATTTCAGAACACATTTTTTTTTCCCTACATCTGATTGGGTTTGATATCCGTCCCTCATAGTGAGCATCCCTCCCCCCGCCTCCAGATTGGACGAAAGAGCTCTCAACCATCAGATTTTTCCCGCCCCCAACTCTGCCAATGGACGGTAGCTTTGCTCATCTTTTTGCAGTCTCGCCCGGCGACCAGTCCCCTTTCGGTGTACAGCTCACTGATTGGAGCAGACGTCGCTAGGCTGCCACGTCCCGCCTACCGCGGCGGGTTGGGTGGGTGAATCGGTGCGGCCGCTGGTTGTGCAGTGCCCGCTCGCCAGGGGGCGGAGATCGGGGGCTGCCCGGCCGGGCCCCGGCCGCCCTAGGGTGGTAAGACGCGAGATGGGTGGGAGAGGGGGGCGCTGCGCTCTTGGCCCTGCGCGGGGAGCCGGGATCGGCTCGCGGCTGGGGCGGGTAACGGGGGGGCGGGTTGTAAATGGGGCGGGGGGAGAGACTAGGTGGGGGGGAGCATGGGGGCTGCGGGCGGGCGGGCGGGGGGGGGTGTTTCATTCCGGGGGGCCGGGTCCGCTGCAGGAGCGGGGTGGGCGGGCGACAGCGGGTGAGTGGGTGTTAGCGAGCGAGTCCCCTGCGAGAACCAGACACCTCGCCCCCCGTCATAGCTCTCAGCACCCCCTGTTTCAGTCTCTTTTCTTATCCCTCCCCTAGAGACCCACCGTATGCTGCCTTTGTGACAGCAAACTACTTACTGTGAAGGGTTTAGGCCAAACAGAGGTAACATCTGTGCATTCGTCTCAGAGATACATCACCCCATGCTTCAAAAACCTAGGCCCCACTTTTGCAATGAGATGGATGCAAGTTGTCTGTTGATTTCAGTGGGGCCCTGTGAAGGAACAAGGGTTGCCTGTTCCTGTCTAATGCTGTGATCAGTAGGGCTTTCTGTTGGTAATCCCTTAACACTCTTATTTTCAGACTCTAATTTAAATACATATGTATTTGGGATATGAGTCGACAGAGAGTGGATATTCTCAAATTAGTTCTGACAAAGGGTCAAGTGTTTCCATTAGCAATTTTTGGCAATGTCTTGTTAATACTACATTGAGAAGGGTGTATTTTCTGGAATAAAGGGTATTGATTCGAAGGAGGTAAACAGAATGAAGCAATGTTTACTCTCAAAACAGTAGTTATGCATCAAAATCCAAAGTTTGTCTAATAAAAGTAGTTGGGAAGAAGCTACATTTCTCTAACAGTAAAAATCTCTTCTTAAAGTACACATCTAATTTCCAGTGATGAGCAGTCTGAATTTATTTAAAACTGGGTCCTGCCTCCTCTGCAGCTATAGAAACTTTAGAACATTTTACCCTCGTTCATGAGAAATTTCTGCCTCAACAGAAACCTATTCACCATGGCATGAGGCTACACATTCTTCCATTCATGTAATTTTGTCTCAGCTCCTGGAAATTTGTCTGTTGTTCAAGATAAATACCATGTCAGCCAGTTGGTGTAAACATTTTAAAATAGAATAGCTGTAGGTCCTTGTGTCTCTCACAGGCTGTTCAAGGTGACTTATTAACCAAACAAATCTGAATCATAAGTAAAACTCTGCATTCCCCAGACTACTGTAGGATAGTTGAGTGGGATATCTAAATTATCTTGACGTTTCTATATGTTGTTTCTTGAGTACACGTCTCTCACATTGGCTTCCTGGTGGTCATATCTAGCATGTACAATATTTTGCACACAGTTATATCTAAAGTGAATAAAATACATCTAGATATATAAATGTGGAGCCTAGGCCACTTGACTTACGTGAATCTGATATGTATTTGTCTTGTTTTTTAAAAAAAGCGTAGTGAAAACAACAATGGAGCGATTTGGAGTGAAAGCTCCTCCTTCCCGTAACCGTTCTAAGACGGCTTTGTATGTGACCCCTCGGGATCGTGTAACCGAGTTTGGGAGTGAACTGCATGAAGATGGAGGGAAATTGTTCTGTACTTCCTGCAATGTGGTCCTGAATCACGTTCGCAAGTCTGCAATCAATGACCATCTCAAGTCTAAAACTCATACAAAGCGGAAGGCAGAGTTTGAAGAGCAGAGTGTCAGAAAGAAGCAGAGGACTCTGACTGCTTCTCTCCAATGCAACAGTGCTACTCAGACAGAGAAAATCAGTGTCATCCAGGACTTTGTGAAGATGTGCTTGGAAGCTAACATCCCACTTGAGAAAGCTGACCATCCATCGGTGCGAGCTTTCCTGTCTCGCCACGTGAAGAATGGTAGTTCCATTCCGCAGTCAGATCAGCTAAGGAAAATGTACCTGCCTGATGGATATGAGAATGAGAACCAGCTCCTCAGTACAGAAGACTGTTGAGAAGATGACTATTTTCGGGATGGAGTATTAAAGTTACATATTGATGGTGTGGTTTATTTTTATATTCATGCATACACAGTGTTATATATTGGTTTTACAGCTTATTTTGTATTACTGTCGAAATGACAATCTATCACCAAAATTAGTGATGTGCCACAGACTCTTGATAATCCTACTGTAGAGTTTATATCCACTGTGATTCAGAACTCATTTTCAAGGTAGGGAACATCATATTGCTGACTATGTAAAGGCCAACCATAACTGGTTGTGACATTAACAAACGCTCACTTGTGCATGGGAGACTTTCTATGCCAACTCAATCACCAACATGACATCTTCATTACGCAAGAAAAGACCAAACAGTAGGAATTACTTTACTACATCAGACCGATGGACCATCTTTGTCCAGTATTCTGTCTCTGTCAATGACCAGGAATAAGTCCTGTACTGTTAGAGTGCAAAAAGTCATATAATGGCCAATTACATAGTAACCTGCACACAGAAGCAAATTCTAACTGCTGGTAAAGGTTGACTTATGCCTTGCAGCATGGGGACTTATATCCTTTTTAAAAACACTTTTTATCCTATCTCATGTAACTCTGGATGTTCTTGTCTATCTAAATACCTAATTATGGCTTCACTTTTCTCTTAAAGCAAGGAGTTCCATAGGTTTGTTACACATCGCATAAAAGAAAAAGCAGTTTCTAATCTCAGTTTTAAATTTGCTGTCTTGCAGTTTCAATGTGCCTCCTTATAGTAAGCCGACAGACTAGTGTCTTTGAGCAAGGTGCTGGCCTATGAAACACATGCCTGATCACAGTCACTTATACTATATTTTGCTGTGTGTTTTCCTAGCATGACAGCAGAAGCAGAACATCTTTTTAATCTGTTACCTATAAACCAGAACCCAGCTGGAGCTGATCAGGACATGGGAGCTGCAGTTCAAGAGCCCTACTTGAGGATGGGGTCACTTAAGCTCTTGCACTCATATCCTTTTCCTGGGTCTTGTGCTTGTCGCAGACTAAGTGACCTCAATGTGTTTTTAAAACAGTTAATGTTGATGCCAAATAGCTCATGTAGCTATGAGGTAAGTGTACCGAAAAGGACGCAACAGAAGAATAAGTGTTATCTGGGTTTCAGTTCCTTTTCCAAGCCAGTGCCACATTCACTGGATCATAAAAAAAGGGAATTACTGTGTTTCAGTAATGTATTATCTCTTTCTCTAAATTGTGTAATTCTCAACCCTTTTCACATCTTTTTGAGGGGGAGTTGTGTTATGCCTATATTAAGTATGATGGTAGCCCACTAAACTTTAGGGTCCAAGAAAGCTCTTGGGTGAGGAGAGAGAGAATATTGTGCAGAGGGAAGTAACACAACTGCCTTTTCTGCCTGCCTCCTCAGGGCTGGGATTCTGTGAGGTGCTGAGCATGTCCTAGGCAGTGCAACATGCCCTCCACTCACCATAAGTGTGCTGTCTCAGGTTTAGCTCCTATTTTACTGCTTTTTCCCTGTCTTGGTTTTCACTAACTATATTTCTCATTTTTCTTCATTTTGCCCATTTAGTGCTGACAGTAGCATTAACTAATTGCGCTTACAGGTGGGGTTGTAGAGGGACACAGATTAGCCTATTAATTTGGTTGGTTTCTGCAGCTCGGTAGTGTAAAATGCACATCAGCTTGAAGAGAGGAAACAGTTTAATGTGGACTATTTTTATGCAATCTTCGAGAACTTGTCAGATGAATGGCTCAAAGTGTATTCACACAATTTAATCATTTCTTTCTTGCAACTGGTTGCCTGCTGTGCAAGGTGTCTTTGCATAGACACAGCAAACTAAATGAATAGCGTGCAGGCAAATTGTTGCACCGGTGCTGAGCCCCATTGAAGCCAGTGAGGCTTGACATAGAGCAGTCTCCCCATTCAATATCAATTGCTGGCTTAGGACTTCAGAGAGAAATAGTAGATGAAATCTTTCTCCTCATCTTGGATGTCTCAATTTGCCTTCACAAATGTGATTAGCTATGGGATGTGTTTGTTCCAACTTAGGATCATGCATTGCCTGTTTCATATAAATCCTCTTAAGACATGAATATAAGTCACCAATGCCAATAGCCTTTTCTATTTTAAAAAAATTTTTCTTCCATGACAGCTCCTCTTCTTGTTCAGTGGAGTCATGCTATCTGCACTTCATTAATCAAAGTTAGATATCATTGAATTAATTTTCTACTCCATCCATACAGTTGTGGTAGGGTTGAATCACAGAGGGGAAACAGTTGTAAGTATTGAGAAAACAGCTTGAGTATGAATTTTTGAAATCAGTCTTCCATTAAAACAAAGAAAAAAGTGCAATTTTAGGTGCTAGTTTGAGATGACTAATTCTGGCCTTGATTTTTTAAAATCATTTTACAGGCTATTGTTGAAATTAAAGTCACTTTAAAAAGACCTAAACAGAAATGTTTTTTCTGCTCTCTACTATCAAACTAATAAACCCGCTTCAAAAAGCTATGCTAGCATTATGATTAAGGATACACAGACTAATGAAACAAAAAAGGCCACTTCGGTCTTGTGTTGGAAGAAACAAAATGTGTCAGACAACTTTGGTAAATAAATTATGTTGTTTTTCAAGTATCTAAGGAGATTACTACAGATAATGGAAAATAAAGCTCTTGATGTCAGCCTTTTAAAACACTATATTTGTCTATATAATGTGATAAAAATCTGTGGTCTAAAATTAGACTTCCATTATATCAATTTACAAGTTTGATGTAGTTCTTCACAGGCTTCCTCAAATACTTCAGTGCCAATTTTTCTTTTTTAATGAAAAGTCAATGCTAGCAGCACACCCTTGTAACAAACCTTAGGCGTGTCCAGATATCTTGGTGTCACTAAGTTTGCATAAATGTCCAAAATAATAATGGAAATACAGTGGGTGTTATGAAAAGAATAAATAGACATGTTAAATACAAGGCACATACTGTCTATATAAGATAACGGGTGCTGTATAGTGAAACCTTTTTGAAGTTTCACTGTAGCTGTACTAGTGGAAAAATGATAACCATTTTTCTCTCTTGAAACTTTGGTTCAGAAATACCAGACATCAGTCTGTTATGGCAAGTATTCATAAATAAAAATATTAAAAATACAAGTGGCATTCCAGGCAAATTTGAGTCTTGAAAAAGTAAGTGTGACAGGCATGTGATATCGTAGAGTTAGGGGTCTGCTGCATGTGAGTTAATTTATTATGTTTCTTCTGTAATTCTAATCCAAAATGTGGATTCCATTTTAATCCAAATTGCCTTTGAGACACTTGTTTTCTTTTAAAATTAGAAATGGGTCCCATGCAAAGTCCCAGAAAACCCCTGCAAACTTTGTCATGCTCAGATAAAAATTTTGCCCTTGTCTAATTACACTTGGTTTTGGGGGGAAATTTCAATGAAAACTTCAATTGGAGCTCATCTCTAACTTTCATAAATAAGAGACTGTCTTAAGAATTCAGTATTTTATTAAATAGTTTATTTAAAAAATCCCATGGGTTTTCCTTTTACAAGAAATCTGCATTATTTTTCCAAATGCTTCCTTGCGGGGGAGAACTCTTAGTCAGTGGGGTGGGATGGTAGAAACTTCTGGTTTTCAATTACCTCTAATATGGTAGAGTTAGGGGTCTGCTGCAAATGGCTTTACCACTGTTAAAATATTTGCTTGTTGTGGTTGTTTTTTAACCTTGTAAATAAACTAGATTAACTAATTGGCATCTGTACACTACTTTGAAATGCATTTTTAAAAGCCAGTTTTCAGAGTAAGAAGGTAGGCAAAAACAACATTCCATATTTCACAGTCGTTTGTGTGTTTATGCACCAGGTTTATTGTAGTTTGTTCAGGCAGTTTGTGTGTCACCAGGACACAACCAATTCAAGTTCTTGATTTTTTTTTATTTATTTATTTCTTTTTTAGCTCTAATTATTTTAAAAGCATTTAGAAATCTGTAATTTGGCTGGTCATTAGTTCATACATTTTGCATAGTTGGAGAGAGAATGGTTTTCAATTAAAAGAGAAACTTGGTTCTGCAAAGTGTTGGACAATCTCATGACAGAAAAACTCATTAGCCTGAAAAGGATTATTTTAGTCTGGGTTTATTTTTGTATTTTATTTTTATTTTTTTTACTGCTTGTACGGAACTGAACAGTAAAGCTCTCCAGCCCTGGTTTGTTTGATACCATATTGACCTAGTTTTCACAGAGTCTCTGGAAGTCTGGCAGTGAGATATATTCTTTGTTTATTGTGCTGACTTTGTACTCATTGCTAACTTTTATTTGCGCAAGCATGTAACCTGAGCACTCATTGTCTGTGTAAGATTTTAAAGTTGTGTGTTGAATTCAATAAATTTTTAAGCAAAAAAAAAAGTTGACATTACCAGCTGTTTGAATGCACCATTACATATGAAGTTCTTAGAGGAACAGCCGTGTTAGTCTGTATTCGCAAAAAGAAAAGGAGTACTTGTGGCACCTTAGAGACTAACCAATTTATTTGAGCATGAGCTTTCGTGAGCTAGAAGTGAGCTGTAGCTCACGAAAGCTCATGCTCAAATAAATTGGTTAGTCTCTAAGGTGCCACAAGTACTCCTTTTCTTTATATGAGGTTCTTGAGTCACAGAAAGCTTGCAGTGATTACTAAAGAGGCCCTCCTATGCCTGTTTTTAAAACTGAAGATTTTATACTCGGTCAAAATGGCATGGAAAGAGTTTAAGAAGTTGATGTTCAAGGAGGAAGGATATCCCAGTGATTAGGATGCTAGCCTAGGACTGGAATTGGACTCAGGTCTGCCAAAAGTCACCTAGTCTCTCCATGCCTCAGTCTGCAGGTGTAATATGGCAATAATGAGTGTTGTGAGGATAACTATGTTAAAGATTAAGAGGTGCTCAGATATTATGGTAATAGGCTATATAGATAGAGTCCTTTCGTTGCGTAAACAAACACACTTATGTATAAACTGCATTATCTTATACAGCTTAAATTTCTTCATTTGTAATGCAATTTATAAAATTACAAAGATAAATACAGAATAAATAAGAGTCACTAGATATATAAATATGTCTGGGAATGAATAAAATATTCAGAAGTTGCTGCAGTTCAGTGTCAAGGAAAGGCAGCGGCCTGTCTCTGGAATCCTGAAAGAGGATGGCACTGAGGCTGGAAGTGTTACTGACAAGTAAAGGACATTGTCAAGTGGCAGATCCCCCACTACAAGAATCACACGATTTGCTACATAATCCCATGACTGTTCTAATGCAGTTTAACTATTTAAATGCCTATGCAATGACCTATGAATCAGATGTTTCATCCATGTTTATAAAAAGTCCTACTTCCCCATTATCATCATACTGTAGTCCTGGTAAGAACAAGTATTGTGCATTTGCTGAAGCGGACCACTTCTGGTACGACACAGGAAATGTTATTTTAATTAGCCTGTGTTCTGCTTTATCTGGTGATAAATGGAAAGATTTTTATATTTTATACTAGTTTTTCATTATGTAGTTAAAATAAAAGCAAAGTTAAAATTACAAAAGAATGCTTTAAGAGCAAATACTTATACTATACTTATAATACTAAATAATACTTAGTCCTGCCGTTAATGCAGGGAACTGGACTAGATGACTTCTTGAGGTCCCTTCCAGTCCTATGATTCTATGAAAGCCATCCCATAATGTGGGATTACAAGCTGGTGGTTATACCAAAGGAGGTGAGCTTGCGCACGCTGATGCATACTTTAAGCCTAGTTTTTATAGTGGTTCAAAAAATTACAACTATTGCAGTTTTGCTGGGTGATAATATTGCAGCAAAACAATAATATAATGCAAATAAAACAAACTGCAATATAAAAAAGGAAACCAAAAACAGTGGAAGGTAGGCCTGGCTTGACCTGCATAATAACATGGGTGAGGTCTCATTTCTTAGGAGACAGGATTTGGGAGTTAAATGAATCAGCAGCCTGGAAACAGAATGGGTTTGCTAATTAGGATACATTAATGGGTCGGTAAGCTAAGTGACAGAATGTCTGTACTAGCTAAGATAAGGGAAGACACTCAAGGAAGCATTTATAATAGACAAGATAAACCTAGAACACAAGATGAGGTACAGAGAAAGTCATGCATGGACAGTGCTTCTATTGAGCATGCTATAACGGGCTGGTTCCTACAAAGTAACCAAGTCAGTCCCTAAGTGTGTGATGCTATGTATATGCAATGTAGTGTGTAAATGTACACAAAGGAAGAGGTTTGGTGTGTATTTTTAGATGTATGGTATGCCCTACACCCACCCCCTATGCTTGAGTCTGATCAACTCAGCGTAGCTTTCCTGTATGCCAAATAAAGATATCTGAGTGACAAAATCTGGATTGAACTGACTTCTTGGAAAGCCGAGTGGAAAGAGGTGTTGGCAAGAATCCCAACATGTAGGTTCCTCCTCCTACTGTCAGAAGCAGTCCCTGAAGCATCACCTCCATCTCAACTGAACACTGAGTGAGTTAAGTCTAAATGCCTGAATTTAGGTCTGTTGTAAATGTTAAAAATAGTGTGCAGTGTAGTTGTAGCCATGTCGGTCCCAGGATATTAGAGAGACAAGGGGATGAGGCAGTATCTTTTACTGGACCAACTACTGCCTCACCTACCTTGTCTCTCTGATATCCTGGGACTGACCTGTCTACAACTACACTGCATACCACAATACAGAACTTGGGCCAGTAAAAGATATTACCTCACCCACCTTGTCTCATTAAAAATAGTAATTAGACAAGATGAAGAATAAAGATCCACAGTCATAAGTATCTCCAGGCAGGTGATATGTGTACTCCTGGTACCTCAGAAGCAGCCACCTATGAAAAGAACATGTAACTCCATGTGGAAAAGATGTGTGATCAGGGGCAATTTAGTTCTTCATATGACCTGCCAAAAGCTGTTCATACCTTCATGACCCAAGTCTACTAAAGATTAACTTCATCCACTCTTAAATTGAACAGATATTTCAGCCAATCATGAACTAATCAAAGATAGGTTAGTGCCTCATCAACCCCGTGTTATGAACTTCACAGTCTATTCCCTTCCCTCCCCTGTTTTTGTTGTTGTGGTATAGTAAAGTGCTTCTGACATAAGCTCTTTTAGAACCTTTCAATTCCTGTCAGTTTAAGTTTCTTGGAAGGTCATTCTCTTGGCTCAGTGACTTCAGCTCCTCATAGAGGTCTTTTTTCTCTCACAATTAATTTTTCTGTTTTCTTTGAAGTACATTTTTAATTCTTACATTGATCTTATTAAATGTGCTACTTTGGGGGTTGGTCTTCCCGCATGGGTTGAAGAAACTAATTGCACCACATAAATTAGCAGGGAGTGTTGCTTGTGGCAGCCGGGAGGGGTCCTGGCTTGTGTGCTTCTCCTATTATTGCTACTCTCAAGGTTCAAAAACATGAAGATCTTGGAGAGTTTTGCCAGTCTTATATTAAGGAGCTAGCACACTGGAGAGAGCATCTCCAGCAAAACTCAGTGTTAAAGAGCAAGGGGATATTTTCAGGGAAGCAGAATTACAAGGCAAATACTTTCTCCTTTTTCACATAGATTAATGCATAGCTGGTTAGGTGCATTATGAGCAACAGTGCACTTACCTCTGCCAGATTTAGGGTAAGAGACTAGACAGACTACTGGCTTGAGCTGGAGTGTGAATCTTGTCTTCAGCTGAAACACTTAAGAAAAGGGGAACTTTAATCCTGATTTTGGTGTGCACAAAGAGCTAGGTATTATTATTTTTACTCTATTCATAACAATAGACTTCTCCATCCCAATACTACATAGGAGGAAAAAAGTGAAGTTGGATGACAAAACATACAACAACGTTTAAGGCTCTCAGCTCATCCTACTTTTTTGGTCTTTTTTAGACTATGCTATTCCGGGCAGGGACCAAGATATATCCAGTCTACAAGACGTGTCAGGAGTAGGCTTCAACCCTGCTCTTACTTTTGAATGTAGTATTGTAAGGAAAATGGCTTTTGGAACAGAACACCTTGGATCATGCCCAGACCAAGGACTCTATACACATTACTGAATTCATTCTCAAACTTCATAGCATGATATGATTATCATGGGACAGGATAACAACTGACTTTACATTTGTGTCTTCACAGCACTAGAGAAAACTGTTGGTCCTTCATAAATAAATTGAATGAACATGAGCTCATATTCTCTAGTAACACCCCACTCCCATTGAGTGCATACCAACAACATTTTTAATGGACCTCTAAGCTGTTTCACTTCAGTGAGACACTGCATGACTGGGAGAAAATAATGGCTTTAGCTGATCCATTGGATCACCTATGCTACAGAGGAAAAGTGCACATTCCTACAATTATGCTCTGGCAACATGAGAAAAATTGATTCTAAAAATTTTAGAGCTATTGAACTTTCTTGTACATCCCTCAGTTTGACTCTTAATGTTATCTCTCTACTGTCCTTCACTGTGTCAGATAATTTCTTCATCATCATAAATCCAATTTTCGAATCCAGCTTTGGAACAGAAACAAAAAAAATCTGATACCTCCTTTTCTTATATCCATTTTGGTGGACTTTGTTACTGTAAATACAGTATACTACAATAATTGGTTTTAAATAACTCTTTTATTCTTCCACCATTTGTCGAGTTTGTATGGCTAACCTGCCCAGGAGATAGGATGTCACTACTATAGAATAAGATCAATAATTCAAGTAAGGTATCTTATTAAATATTCAGGATTATTAAAGTATGTTTTCTGTGCAGTCAGCCCCTTCAAAATAACTCCCAAGTCAGTCTAGATTCTAAAAACCCACAAAACTTCTAAGTCACTTATGGAAATATTGTCAGATAAAATTGCCATTCTCAAGTCTAATGAAAACTTGCAACATAATGCATGTGTAACATACTCTTGCATCAGAGTTTGACTCAACCAGGAGGGAGGATACCACTCACCTTGCTAAATACAAAGGAAGTTGGTTATATCTACTGAAATTGCTCAATATTAGCAGGGGTTGCAAAGTGGCCACAACTGTGGGGCAAGAAGTCGAGGAGTCATATATAATTGAGATTTGTTGGAATTTGATGAGATCAGTCACCTTGAGATGTAGCAGAGAAGGGATTTGCAGCTAGTGGTAGGCAGTAGCAGTTTTATTGAGCTTTTGAAAGGACTCTGCTTGAGGGCTTCTGATCAGTCCGCACCCACAGTATCTTGTTTATCTCCTGCTTTTCCAAAGCTCCAAGTACAATTATCAATACAGGAACTCCTCACTTAACGCTGTAGTTATGTTCCTGAAAAATGCTACTTTAAGCAAAATGATGTAAAGTGAATCCGATTTCCCCAAAAGAATTAATGTAAATGGGAGGGAGAGGGGTACGGTTCCA